CTTGCCTATGAGCGGTCCACGACCCGGTGGCAGCCGAATTCTTCGGGACTTGCTTTGCCCTCTTCCAGGCCGCCCACTCATGATGCACAGGGCGCCCAGCCGATGGAGGTTAGTCAAGTTGCGCGACCGGGTGCACCGTGAAAGGACAAGAAGGGCAAGGGCAAGGATAAGGGCAAGAAGGGCAAGGGGAAGAATGACAAACCTTCCTCGCCAGCCTCGTCGACTACCTCACCCAAGGCAGCAACCAAGGACACTCAGTGCTTTGTGTGTGGTAAGTATGGTCACTTTGCGCGGGATTGCAGAAGCAAGGGCAAAGGCAAGAACAAGGGCAAGGTGCAACAGGTAGCAAGCCAAGCAGAGCAGCAACCACAGCAACAGCCACAGCCGCAGCAACAGCCCAGCAACAAGAACCAAGCAGCCGCAGCAACAACCACAGCCGCAGCAACAGCCCAGCAGCCAGCACAGGTGCAGCGCGTCAGGGTCGTCCGCATGATCACCCCAGCAGATGCTGAGGTGACTGAGGTTTTCGATTTGACCGCAGAGGACTCTGGCAGTGAGTGTTATGCTGGTGTGCCGTTTGCAGTGCGTGCTGTGCAGTTCAAGAAGTTTGAGGGCCCCCAAGAAGCCGTGGATGCAACAATCATCTTAGATTCGGGTGCTGACTCAAGCATGGTGCCCGCTGAGTTTTTGAACTATGGTCAGCCTGCCTCAACCGCAGGCCCCCCGCAGCTTGCGGATGCGCAGCGAAATTTGATCCCGACCAAGGCCGTGCGCAGGTATGAGTTTTGGCTTCGTGACCGGCGCGGCCAGTACTTTGTCATCAAGGAAGACTGTGTAGTCGGGAATGTTCGTGTGCCACTTCTTGCTATAGGGAAACTTCTTCGTAGAGGGTGGCAGTTGGTGCATGGAGGCGGGGGTGAAGGGCTCTCTCTTCAAGAACCGTTTGGGAGGCAAGCGGCCGTTGGCTACAGGAACCACTCTTTGATGATTCAGGGCAGCGTTCGTGCCTTGACCGAGCAGCCCCGCTCGCTTCCTGCCGTGGTCCCTGAAGTTACTTTGCCGAGGGAGATCGCTGATAAGGCCAACAGCCCTGGCATGCATACCTTGGAGCTTGGGCCAGGCTGGAAGATGTTCGTGGCGAAGGCGGCCACGACGCTCTTCGATCCGAAGGAGTGGTTTGATCCCCTGCTGTTCCCTTCCCGCATGACTCTGGTGAGGAAGGACTCTTGTGGCTGGCTTCAGATTGAGAATTCCGCTGCTTATGTGCACGAGGCCGTCCCCTTCGCCGTTTTCTCTTTCGAGCCGAGGTGGACGATTACCCTCTTTGCCCGCGAGCCTTTTCAGGAGAATTTCATATATGGTTGCACCCGGCCCAAAGAAAGCGAGCTGGAAGCAGCCCGCCGTGAAGCTGAGGCTGAGCGTCTGAGGCGGCCCGCGCTTTTGGATGCCGACTCCGCGGGTGCCCGTGACCGTGTTCCAGCTCCTCCTGGTGGCAGCCGTGACGAAGGGCCCGCGCAGCCCCCAGCAGGCCTCGAAGGAGATGAGTCAGGAGCTTTTATGGCGAAGCAGGCGGCCGATGCTTTGGAGGGCGATGGGCTGCGCTCACCGATCGCGAGGGAAATGCCGGATGAGCCCACCGATGAGGAGAGAGCTTTACATGCTCTCACGCATATTCCTTTTGCGAAGTGGTGCTCAGCTTGTGTGCGCACCCGCTCGCGCGCCGATGCTCATCGACCGCAACTTGTGGAGCAGCAGTGGTCTGTTCTGCAGGTGGATTTCTATTTCACGGCAGCCGACTCCACAGGACGCCCAGCACCTGATGATGATGATGATGATGATGATGATGATTGTTCTCCCTTGTGCTGTTTGCTGGCAGTGGACTTGGACACGAGGATGGTGCTTTCTGTGCCGTGTCCCGGCAAAGGGGCCACCGTGCTGACGAGATGCACTCATGAGCTGGCCCGCTTTACGATCGCCCTCCACGCCAGCGAGCCCGTGACCATTCAGTCGGATGGGGAACCAGCAATAAAAAGTGTGGTTCGCGCCGTGGCGCAGGCTCGCCACGCGTTGGGCCACAGGACCTTGCAGTGCACGACTCCTGTTGGGGACCACCAAGCGAACGGAGGAGTGGAGAGAGCAGTTCAAACTGTTCGGCGCCTGGCCAATTGCTTGATTTGTGACTTCGAGGACAGGCGCGGGAAGCTGCCTGTGGACACCGATCTCCGCGCATGGTCCCACTCCCACTCGAGCTTCTTGTACAATCGCTACAATGTCGTGGCCGGCTTGCAGAAGACCCCCTACGAGATGGCCCACGGAGGAAGGCCCGTCACAGCCAAGCTTTGCTGCTTCGGGGAAGTCGTGTTCGGGAAGGTTCCTCGTACATACAAAGGGGAACCAGTGCTGGTGGACGGGATGTGGGTTGGCATCAGCAAGCACAACGGCACCGATTGGATGATGACCGAGTTCGGGGCAGTGCAAGCTGCGTCGGTGCGGCGCGCAAGCAAGGAGATGCAGCTACCAACCAAGGAGCTTTTGGCTAAGTACCACGGCCTGCCGTGGGAAAAGACCACTGTGGAGAAGAAGCGGCGCAAGCGAGCACCCGTTCTTCCGTTGGCCGCTCCTCTTGCTGATCCCGGTGGTGCCCCTGACCTTGCCGCGCCGTTGGCCAATGCACCAGCAGATGCCGAGCAACAGGGAGATGCGCAAACAGCCGAAGCAGCCTCGGACCCTTCATCTTCTTCGTCCGAGGAGCTTATGGCGGATGATGGTGGCACCCCGGCCGCCAAGCGCAAAGCTGAGGAGGTTGGCCTTGACGACGCAGAGCGTGCCAATGCAGCTGCCAGCTCCGAGCCCATGGTGCGTGCGATCGAGACCGTCGACGCGGATTGGTTCGAAGCCGGCGCTGGGATTATCGAGCCCAGCGGCTGAGGCCGAGCTTGCGGTGCTGGAC